CCTTTTACCTTTTTTTGGATACCAGTAGTTTATGAGTTTACTCCATTTATCTGCTCCGCGTAAAGTGTGTCCCGTCCATCTCCATTTGAGTTGTTTTATCGTTGTGATGAAGTTAGTTAGATGGCATATATCTAACCACTTTTTTGTTTAGAAAATGCAGTTAAACAGCATGCTATTTGCGGCGTTGTTTTATTGATATTAATATTAATCCTTATCCAAATAAATTCATTTGTCAGAACTTAATCTAGATTTTAAAAACCGATTCTAATCTTGCCTAAAGATTTTTCATAGTTTTCTCTTAGCACGTTTTTGTTGCAATCAGCGTTAACATATTAGTAAACCCGCGTTAACTATTTTTATCTTTGAAATGACATATTGCGGTTTTCTGACTAAACCATTAGTAAATTTATCAATTCGTACATTTCATTTAGTATCTTATCATATTTTATCTATAATCTCAAATCAAACACTGATAAAATAATTTAAACGCAACAGTGACGTTGGCAACACGTCGTTAAAAAATAAAACTTCATTTGTTCTCGAAACATGATTAATAAGTGCCGCAGATAAAAAATTCAATCAATAAACCATTTGTTGTGTACGAAAAATTATTAATAGTGTTGTGACTTTGTGACAGACAAACGTCAAAGATTCGAAATGTCAAATCGGATATTTTTATTCCTTTTCACTGTCATAATTATGACGGATAAAATTATATCCGAAAGTGTTTTCGAAGGTTCTCGTTTTGTGAATGACAGATTGTTACATCGAAGTGACCATGTTAAAAGACCTTTTTTTATAAGAAGTGAAGACATCGCTTTCCCCAAATATAATGAAGAAAGGGGCAATTTAATTACTTCAATTAATATCATAGATAATCTAGACAATGGTGCTTCGGCAGAAATTGATTATGGTGGGATTGGTTACACGTATGTAAATGTTCATCTGAGAAGTGCTTTATGGAGCGGTTACAATTTTACTGTAGAGATATATGGTGTGAAAATAAACGATTTTTTTCAATAATATAAGCATTTAATTTATGGAACATTTCATCTTTCTATGTATCATTTAGCAACAAAGTGCACGATACAAAAAAATTATACGACTCCTACCTTTAAATAATAGCAAGATAATATGAATCCTAAATATTGCACATGCAATCTATAAGGAGTATTTCTGCAAAACGAAACTACACTAAAAACATTATACCTATATGAAAAAATGTTGTAAACACGTAAAATGAAAAAAGAGACTCATAACTATCTATAAAAACAATTTTTTTTTACTTTTTTATACTTTTTTGTTAATAAAACTTCTTAAACGTATAAGATATGTTACCATTCAATACATTAAAACAATCTAAGGTTTAAGATATAATGATGCTATAGTTTTTATTGTATTGTAAACTAATTAAGATATTGGATTCTATAGCTATAAATAACGATAACGCACCGGCACAGATAAATTAAACGAACGAATAAGAAAAAAAACATAGACGTATTCTTTATATCACTTACTTAAAACTGATTCTTTACGGCCTTATATTAATTTCTAGCTGTTCCCGTGCGGCTTCATCCGCATATAATTATGAAAAATTTAATTTTATTGTTTAGATGTGTCAAATTATCAATTGCAAATGTCGAAATGACATGACATGACAAACCTTAGCAATCTTGCTTTCTTGATGTTGGCAGCAACTTATGGTCTCTTTCCCACATTAGGGTTTTTATCCAAAATATTTACCCCCTAAGTTTAATGGCGTGAAAATATATTGCCTAAAGCGTGACGTCAGTGTAGGGCTTTTTATTAAAAAAAATATTAAAAAATATGCTATAATTACTTGCATCTTAGGCAACAAAGAAGTGTGTGTTTACACTTTATTATAATAGTATAGATAAGAGTTTTGTATATCATAGTTTTTTTAACTTTAACTTAACCATATATTTAATAACCTACATCGTTACTTAAGAAAATATTAACACAGTTATAACGAGTTAGGTTATTTTTCTTTAAATCTCTTGTTTTGAACACTGGCATAAAAGACGTAATACTTTATCTATCCTCGTCAAAATCATCACTGATATCAACAAAATTAAAACGGCATTTATCAACATAATTATCAATAACATTTAATCTACTCCTCCAGGTTAGTGTTATTACATAAATTCAGTATTAAAGTTGTTTTTTAGGTTATTAAATTTTATCTTTATTATGCTTTACCGTTTAATTTTGTTTGTTATTACTATCGTGCTTGTGAAAACAGATCCAAGTATAACTGAACTAGAAGATTCGCATAATGAAAATAATACCGAGTACGAAATAGCAAATGGTAGAATTCATATGACATTGAAACAATATTACTGCGCATGGAAAGATTCGAATAGTAAGTAAGCATTGATTTCTATAAATAGACAGGCTAGAAACTACGACATTTTGTGTCTATATGACATAGGCTTTGAGTTGAACGAAGTGAAAAGATTTCTAACTAAAACTAAATAAGTCTATGACTGACTTAACTGTCATTGACATCAAAAGGCGTGTTGGACATAACAATCGCCTATCTATTTCTATATATCCATGTAAATAACGTTTTTTTTAAGTATCAAAGTTGTTTAAATGATGTCGCCGGCCGGCATAACGAATCATTTTTATCATTTCTACTCTGGTTCCAGATTCAAAACCTCTGACGTTCGGTGCCAAATCTTGGGTATTTCCAAAGCAAGACGTGAATTTAGTGCTGTCGTATCCTGACAAAAATGTTGGTATATCTTCAGGCTATTGTTAATTTCCACTGCTGAAACTTATGTACAAAAACATAGTGACATCCCTGTCACTTTTAAAAACAGAGTCTCCAAACATTTGTTAAACATTTACAGCATGGATCCAAACGTTTGTCAAATATTTTTTCAGTGTGACTATGAGTGTTTTCTAAAAACATATTGTTTTATTTTTTTTAAAGTTAAAGGAATAAAAGATATGTTTTCGTACATTTGTTTCTTGACAAATTCTTGATTATATTCACAAATATTTTTTCTCGTTACCAGCAAGCCATAAAAAGTAATGAAGTGATAACCAAATTCAATGTATTCATAAAGATAGATAGCAGCGACAGCAAAGGATATATCACGTCTGGAGGTATCCTACAGGTAACTGTCATCATACTGATATTATAAATGTGAAAGTTTAGATGGATGGGTGGATGTTTCTTTGTTAGAGTTTGTAGCCCAAACTGCTGAACGGATCTCAATGAAATTAGGCATACATGTAGAGGATAGTCTGGAAGAACACATAGGCTAGTTTCTTTTGTTTTTTTAATACCACGCGGACGAAAGCTAGTGTTTTAATATTATCAAATTAAAAATAGTATAACATACAACGCTCTCAGAGGGGGAATCGTAAACAAATCACGTCAGAAAACTCGTAAGCGTCGGCTACAATCTGACAGACGTCAAAATTTTAATGGGATTTGAACTTTAAGTGTATCTTTACTTAAGTAAGATTAATGTTTATAACATTACTGTTTTATATTTACAGGATCACATATCTCTATCTTTTGTATTCCGCGGCATTACATCGCTGTCGTATCAGTTTTGGCTGTACGGGATGTCGAGCGACTATATTCCCAGAATCGACCCGTACGCAAATATACAACCTATGTGCTAGCTATTAAACATTTGTCAAACGTTTGGTGCCACGCAGTAAATGTTTGGAACCGTGCTGTAAATGTTTCACAACTGTTTGGTGCCGCGCTATTATTCTTTTTAATTGTTACTATCTACCTTGCTTCTAATGTAAATACGTTATAGAAATAAATTATTCTTAGACATCGTTATGTCTATAATTAAAATATAATTTTATTTCAAAATTAAGGCAAAATATCCTAACACTTAGAAAAAAAAATTTTTACCCATTTACCCATAACCCACTTTTTATCCACTTTTATTTAATGAAAATGAAAAAATACAAATATCGTGAATTCTATGTTACATTTGATATCTTAGACACGTATAAAGGAACACAGATGCACTTCGCATACAATATTAGAGTCAGCAATACACAGTACAATATACAATTCGCAATACACAATACGTTGGTCTTATTATCATCAGACTGTGCCACCTGTGCCCGCCAGTCTAGACATGTCACGTGTAACTAGGGCTGCCACATTTGAATTTGAAAGTAAAGTAACTAGTAAGCTATCAAAGAGTAAACACATATCTCTTTCTATTAGTAGAGAATGAAAGAGATGGTAATATGGTTTTTACAGATAAAGTGTAAAACTAATACGGTTTCGACTGCAATGACACTTGCAATATGTCTTCTCTGTTTTTTCAAAGAGTATGTGAAGGATGTCGTTATGTGTCACAAGTGTCGTTACAATAAAAACGCACAAACATAAGTCGTATAAAACTACTTACAACCAACTGCCATTCGTCCAGGGCTCCCGTCTCTTCCTTGTAGCATTGCCGATCGCCAGCCAAACTAGAGATAACAGCACGAGGAAACGAAAAACCGAACTGGACGCCATCTTGTTTCTGACGTCACAAAATGGCCGTCTCACATTATACACTGTCACTTCCCACTTTTATACTTTTACATGTTCTATTAAATCACATCCTAATTATAATAATACTTAAAGGTTGCTGTACACGGACCACTGTTTTCAGTGAAACGCAGTCGCACAAACCTCAAACTAATTGCTAATAAAGTGTAAAAGGGGCCACAAAAATCCCCACCCCAAAAATTTTGTGGATAAAATCTAGACTCTGGAACTATTCATAAGGATTGTCTTGAGATAACTTATTAGGCGCCAGGAAAGTAATTAAAATCAAATATAGCAGACGAAATACTCTTTTAATTGATTTTTAATTAATTCTCAATCTATCAAATTCTATTGTCGGTTACTTTATACATTCATATATTGCTTTTGTCGAATAAAACGATATTAACGTTTCCTTGATCTAAAAAGAAAATTTGGTTTATTTGATACTAGCTGTTACTCGCGACTTCGTCTGCGTGCAATTTAAAAATATAACCCATGTTACTCGGCGATAACTTAGCTTTATGGTGGTTAAAGAGTTTTCAAAATCGGCCAAGTAGTTTTTGAGGTATTCCGATACATGTTGAAATTCACATCTTTTCTCTTTATAATATTAGTGTATAGATATACCATGTCGGCAAACCGCGTGTCGGCAAACGGTGTGACGGCAAACTGTATGGCGTTACTAGGAGCCCATGGTACCAAGAAAACCGGTTCATAATTTTATTGTAGCAGCTCTGAAGTATCCTGTAATATAGAGCTGCTACTATCCCCATTAGACTAATTTGACTGATACTTTAGAGTGTGCAATAAATGTACGCGACACTAAAGTTAAGTACCTTTATAGCATAAGGTTTCTATTTTATGTCACACTGTCTACTTTGTATACTTTAAATATTATGAACTAGCTGTTCGCGTGCGACTTCGTCCTTATTTTATTGTTAACATGTGTCAAATTATCAATTGCAAATTTCAAAATGACATGACATGACAAACCATGGCAACCTTTGCTTTCTTAATGTTGGCAGTAACTTATAGTCTCTTTCCCACATTAGGGTTTTTATCCAAAATATTTAGCCCCTTATACACTTTATTATAATAGTATAGATATGTTCTTATCCGTATAATTTACAAGAATAATAATTGTATTAACAGACTTTAAACATTGTAAATAACAATTTTTACATTTCATCATTAACTGTTAAAATAACTCTCCGACAAAAAATTGCAAACAAAAGCAGTGAAACATTCGGAAAAAGTTTTAATTTAGTTTACATTTTCAAATAATAATTAAAATTAAAATATCAAAATAAGATTTTCATCATTTGTTGTGTAATTCTCGATAAGGCAATTGATTATAAGTTATTTTTTTATATCTCAATTAACATCTAAACTTTAAAAGAACAAGTATGGGTATAAAACAGTCCAATCAACTCAAGAATAATAATTAACTATGGATTAAGTGATCGATATTTTAGCCTTTTTAAATCTCTAATTTGATACGGACATAGCGACTTTGAATACAATAAAAATTCCCAAGCACTCGCCGGCGACCATCCCTTATAATTTTCAATTTATTGTACACAATGGCAGAGCAAAAGCGTAACTAATTCCTTTATGGGAAGCGGAATAATGCTATTCAATGTTCACGACACGACTAAAATCATAAGACTTTTGTGCTAATAATAAATAAAGTTTATTATTACTAAATTAAATTCTCATGAGAATAATAATTACGACATCGACTAGTTTCTACTTGATCTATTCTAAACAATTATTATTTTCGTAATATTTAACAATTAATTTAAATAATTATTGTGCAAATTATTTGAATAAAAATAATCACGTATAAGTAGAATGATTTTCTGCAAATAAAATTTTATTCAAGACTAGCTTTCGCCCGCGAAAAATGAAAATAAGGAGCCTATGTGTCCTTCCAGACTATCCCCTACATGTATGCCAAATTTCATAGAAATCTCTTTAGCCGTTTAAGCTACAAACTCTAAGAAACATCCATCCATCTAAACTTTCACATGTATAATATTAGTGAGAAGTAAGACTTTTCCAAAGCGACGTATCCGCTTTACGACACGATACGGTTAAAATAGTTGTAGAGGATAGTTTGGAAGTACACATAGGCTACTTACTTTTATTTTTAATTCCACGCGGACTGATTCGCAGGCGAAGCCAATTTTATACATATTTATGCAGATGACTGTACTTTTTAACAAAAGAAACATACAACTATAAGAATTCATTTATTTATTTAGAACTTTGCTTGATTATTTAACACAGCCGTAGTTTAATTATAGTTTAAGTAAAGTTTTATAGCAGTAAGATAGCGAATTTAATCTCAGAGTAACATAAAACTCTTAATTGCAAAAACAGCTCATTTTCTACGTGCTTCAGATGAAATAAAAGTACTAATAAAAAGGCTTTAAAAACTAGTATAATCCTGATAAAAATAAACCGTTACATAAACATCAAAACTTAATTAAACCCTTATAATTAAACTACAATTATAAAGATTAAGATAATTTCCATTTCATTTAGAGATTTAAATGTATAAATAAGCGACAATATTCGTATTTGTACGCGAAGTAAAAATTGCTCTTTGCTAAATGAAAATCCGAGATTTTTTATCTTTTGGAACACGCGATTGATTTGATGTATCCCGGTACAAAAAGATTCATAAAAGATAGTTTGAATCAATTGGACACAAATACACATAATATATTACTTTATTGTTAGAGATATTTTTAATGTTGTTAATTGAAATTTAAATCAACAATTTGACATCTGTTTAATTCTCCAATGTAAATTATAAAGTTCTCACACTTAGTTTATCAACAGTTCGACTTTTCAGTTTAAACTGTCAATTAGAATTGTTCGTATGAAGCGGTTAACTGTTCCTATCTGCTGTCACGAATTATTTATAATATTGCATCTAACAATACAGGTTAATTAAGGTGAGAACTAATTTGTTATTTGTTCATATAACTTAAGTATATAAGCGTAACATTATTCAAGTTTATTTGTATGTTAATTGCTCTAAAAACAAAAGTGAGTAGTCTATGTGTTCTTCCAGACTATCCTCTACATCTATGTCAAATTTCATCGAGATCCGTTCTACCGTTTAGGCTACAACCTCTAACAAACATCAATCCATCTAAACTTTCGCATTTATAACATTAATAAGATATAGGTTAGAAATTAAAGTGCCGTGTACGAAACATTTGCAATTGAACAAATGCAATGATTAACCTCAGTGAAAGTACAAAACCATATGAAAACTACATTTATAAACAAGCTGGTTTTTTAGTATTAAAGAAGCTTTTAACGATAACACCTAAAATATCAGAAAACACTTTTCTCGAAACCTTTTCAAATCACTTCACACAAGTTCGAGTTAAGTTACGATTAAGTTAGCTCTAAGTGAGCACACGACCGGTCCCCTCGGGGGTCAAAGTCAGACTGAGTCTGATTTAAGTTGGATTCCTCGCTTAGAACCTGATAGAGCTCGGGTGCGCTTTTATTTTTAATTTTTGGTTGAGCACTGATTTCTGTAATGCCAGCATTCTTAGGTCAGTTTTTTTATTTGTTTTTAAATTAATTTATTATGGATTTGTTCTTAATGTTAAATTTATTAGGTTATGACGTATCAAAAAAGAAATTTATAAAAGCTCTTAAAATATATCATTTGATGTGTGATTTTGGCTTTTAAATATAAAATTTCATAATCAATACCAATTACTAAGTAAGAAGATATCATGATATCACTATTAAAGTTTTTTGTGCTTTTTTAATAAAAAAAAATACAAACAAAAATCATGTCCGATTTCAGGAATATTTCGTTTAAAAATGTGAATTCAAAATTGTAATCCAGCAAACGTACTTGCTACCACAAAGCACAATAAAAGAACATGTATCTAATGCAATCAGCTGAGATTCCAACCTGTGTTCATCGTCCAGTGCAGGGGTGTACAAATTACGGACCGTAAATACAATGCGGCGGGCGGCAACTAAAAAAAAAATTGACAACCAGTCAAATAAAAAATAAATTTGACTACTGGTCAAACTGAAAATAACGTCAAACATTTATTAAAAACGTAAATAGTGTTATTTTAAGATTCACTATGGCACTATACTACTTTGGAAAAGGCAGTGTAGAGTAGATCATAGGTCTTAAATTATTGGAATCCATATATCCATAGGCTAGATAGTTGAAACAGCCCTGGTTTAGTGGGTAACAAACTCGCCTGTAAATCAACGCGAATCCACTCGCCTTGAAATATTAAATCCCACACAATACTTAGGAAATATCCACAATAAGCATTAATTTAACTCTATTTAATTTATTCCTGTCCTTTTTCCTGCATTGTCAGTACAGTATACAGTCTGCTGTAACAGCCGTCATATCAAAATTTAAATTTCCTTTTTTAATAACAACAGGGCCGGACCTCTGTCTATCGTCATAACACCGGGTACCAGGATAACATAAAACTTGAGCAGGTTGTAACGTGTTGAGAGCATCACAGGGGTGAATTGCGGATTTTCATTTAGTACGGTCCTGGTAAAAATCCCTCTCGTTTCTACACCTAGAAGAGCTAGTAGATACGCGTCCTTTTTCATAACAGGGCCGGACCTCTGTCTATCGACACAACAGCGAGTACCAGGATGACATAAAGCTTGAGCAGGTTGTAACGTGTTGAGAGCATCACAGGGGTGAATTGCGGATTTTCATTTAGTACGGTCCCGGTAAATCCCTCTCGCTTCTGCATTTAGAAGAGGTAGTATACACGCGTCCTTTTTCATAACAGGGCCGGACCTCTGTCTATCGACGCTACAAAGGGCACCAGGATAGCATAAAAGTGGGGAAGGTTGTACTGACGTGTTAAAGGCATCACAGGGGTGAATTGCGATTTTTCAGAAAGAACGGTCCTGTATGTCTCTCTCGCCCTTGCGCACAAAAGAGGTAGTATACACGCATCCCTTTTCACTCCTGACTGGGCCGAACCTCTCTTTCCATCCTTTTTGTACATGTATGAAAAATGGATTTGGCGGGGGATGGACTACCAATAAAATGTTTACATCTTCTGAAAGATTACAAACCTTTCTCAAAGAACTAGAGCAAAGAAAAGATTTCACAACAACTTTAGTAGAAAAATGATCTCGTTAAACTTTTATGACATGATGAAACAGGGTGGCGCTAGCCAGCTGTCATAATTTAGTTTGAAATATGCCCACCGGGTCAGATGTCTTTTACGGTCTACATTTTCCGAATGCCAAAGATCCTTATAGAACTATACGTAAAGAATTACGGACTTTTAATTTTAATTCGGCAGTACGGCCCTGTTATATCTCTCTCGCTTATGCACACAAAAGAGGTATAATGCATCGTTTTCTATTGCTACAGGGCCGGTTCTTTGTCAATCGACACGAAACCGAATACCAGGATAACATAAAACAGGAGGTCACAATGTCACAATATCTCTTCGAATTTGGCAGCGCTAACATTGTTAGTCCTAACATTTGATCATAGATGGCAGTAATATTCATCGCCTAAAAGGTTGTTTTTAATTTATTCCAAAGTAGTACCAGGGTAAAATAAAAAGAAACGAATGTAATCATTTTTTTCTATAGTAAAGAAAGTCGTTTTGGTAGTTATTTTGACCCGGATGCATGTGTATTTTAGTTGCCCTCGCATCTAATAATCTAAGTATTCGTTTGACACTATTTACCACTACGTAAATAGTGTCAAACGAATACTTAAGAAAATACTAGATCATTTTATATCTTTAATACAGATTTTTTATTATTTTATTTTTACAATAATTAAACATTGGAGATAAAATACCGACTATAAACTATGCTCACAAAAGAAACCAACAATACTAATGTACTATGTACTATGATTAGATTCGGAATTACAACACAATAGCTATGCTTTGTCCCTGCTGACCCATTTGGCCAATTAGCTACGCTTCAATACAAATCAGGAAGACGAATAAATGATACTTGGAGCATTTCTTAAATGCATATATAGAACAGTCTATAGCTGCATTCAGTTGAGATTACTTGTGCAATACGCTAAAGAATATGTCTTAAGTAATAAAAATGACTAGAACATAATTCTTAAAACAAGGGCGGATCCAGCTTTAGCACCAGGAAGGGGGGGGG